ATATTCTTCCTCCCCACCCTCTTCCTTGGCCATTTCGCTGTACCCACCTGTGAACCCTCCGGCCTAGAAGCCCTCCTTCTGTGCTCAGACAGGGGCAACGGTCTCCCTCGGAGGCAGGCCACCCCATCGTGTGACGTGCAGCTGCCACCCTCACCCCACTGCCACACGGCATGGCTCTTCCTGCAGCCCAGCACTTCGGGCTGCCTGGGCTCGCATCCTGCCCACAGCCTTCCTGAACCCCTCTCAGCGCACGTGCCCTTTTTATTTATTTATTTGGGGAGGCGGGTGCAGGGGAGAGGTTTTTGCTATAGGGCGCGTGCGCTCACCAGAATGACAGAGACAGAGAGACAGAAAGCAAGAAATCACCCCCCAGGGGGGATGGCCACGCCGCAATCCCTTCTCCTCCATTCTCCTCTCAGGATCTTGGGCACGCACGCACACGCGCCTGGCATGAGTTTAAGCCACCGGGTCCAGGACTTGAACTGTGGTTGACTACATGGGAGTCCAGCGACATACCATTACACTAACTGCTGGTTCCCCCATGTGTCCTTTTGTACAGTCTCTCAGCCCACAAGACAATGCCCATGGCTCCCCCTGACCCAGAAAGCCTAGCCTGACCAGCTCGCTTCATTACACCTCTTGTTGGAGTGTCGCTTCTCCGCCTGGCACCCCCCACTCCATACGGTAGCTCCTAGCTGTCCCCCACTTCACCCATCTGAGAAGTGCCCGGTGCTCAGTCACCTTAGACCGGCCAAGCGGCTTCTGTCAGGCTAAAGGACGAAGCCAGCGCTGCTCCTCGGGGCCGAGTAGACGTGAGGATGTGAGTCCTCTTCACCCCCAGGTCCTGATCGAGCACATCGGGAACCTGGACCGGGCCTATGAGTTTGCAGAGAGATGCGGTGAGCCGGCCGTGTGGAGTCAGCTGGCCCGGGCCCAGCTCCAGAAGGACCTGGTGAGGGAAGCCATCGACTCGTACATCAGAGCGGACGACCCTTCCTCCTGCCAGGAGGTGGTCCAGGCGGCCAGCAAGAGCAGTGAGTGACCGTCCTCTCCGCGGGCCCCGCTGCTCAGGGTGCAGAGCTGGCGGACACAGAAGGAGGCGGAGGTCCCCGGGAGCCCCCGGGAGATGTCTGTAGAGGCCACACCACAGTCCTTTCTCCTCCACTCTCCTCTCGGGATTTTGGGCACGCATGCACATGCACCTGGCATGAGTTTTAAGCTACTGGGTCTGGGACTAGAACCGTGGTCGGCCATGTGGGAGCTCAGCGCCTTAGCCACTACGCCACCCGCTGGCCCCTGTTGTAATAATTTTAAGGTCGTGAGTTAGACCCCAAGTGTCTTCCGAGTCTGGTGTTTCCAGTTGGCCGTGACACCGGCCTCTCCAATGGCCTCAGTAAGCTCCCTGTCCCCTGGTGACGTCTTTACAGGGGCGTGGAGGTTTCTGTCCCCAGGGGCGGTTCACACATGGCTCTGCCCCTTCCCTTTCTCCCACAGGTGCCGGGCTCTTCCGTGAGGGCCCGCTCGCGCATCACCTGGAATCTGAGCTCTCCGAGAGGCAGAATGGGAGGAACTGAGTCCCTTGTTTAAAATTCTCAGCTCTGGGTTAACCTGTCTGTCTTTTCTGTCTTTAGACCACTGGGAGGATCTAGTCAAGTTCCTGCAGATGGCCAGGAGAAAGGGCCGCGAGTCCTACGTAGAGACGGAACTTCTTTTTGCCTTGGCCAAGACGGGCCATCTGTCTGAGCTGGAGGACTGTATTAACGGCCCCAACAATGCCCACATCCAGCAGGTAGGCCCCAGGCCCAGGAACTGCTCAGTCAGCTCACATCAATGTCAAGTGGGCTGCTGCTCTTCAGGGTAGCACGCAGGTTCAAGTACCTGGCTGCAGTTCTTGGTGTGGAAATGAAGACCTGGGGAATTTGAACTTGCCCTGGGCTACCCGTAAGGTGGCCGAGGTCACAAGGACCCTCCTAGAGGGAGAGCCATCAGGACTCACACGGGTGTTCCAATTGCCACCTCTAGGAAACAGAATCACCGATTCACTCGGAATGAATGATCCAGGGGACCAGCAGTTGGTGTAATGGCTATGTTGCTGGACTCCCATGTAGTCAGCTGTGGTTCGAGTCCCGGGCCCGGTGGCTTAAACTCATGCCAGGCACGTGTGCATGCATGCCCAAGATCCCGAGAGGAGAATGGAGGAGAAGGGATTGCGGCGTGGCCATCCTCCTTGGGGGGTGATTTCTCTCTTTCTGTCTCTCTGTTTTTCTCTGGCTTTCCGGTGAGTGCACGCGCCCTATAGCAAAAACCTCTCCCCCCCCAAAAAAAAAAGAATGAATGATCCAGATACATAAAAGATATGTATTAGGGGACCGGAAGGTAGCTTGGGGGTTAAAGGTGCTGGATTCCCACATGGTCAACCGTGGCTGGAATCCCGGACCTGGTGGCTTTCTCTCTCCCTCTCTCTCCCTATCTGGTAAAATTGAAATAAACAAATGTATAAATAAAAGTTAAATAAAATAATTCTTAAAAAAAAAGATATGGCACCAGCAGTTAGCATAATGGCTATGTTGCTGGACTCTCATGTAGTCGACCACGGTTCGCGTCCCGGACCCGGTGGCTTAAACTCACACTGGGCGCGTGTGCGTGCGTGCCCAAGATCCCGAGAGGAGAATGGAGGAGAAGGGATTGCG